GGTTTTAATTAATATTGATTGCATCTACTTGATTTTCAATTAATATGTTTTCCTTATATGAGTGCTTATTCTTTGTCAAGAATATTATTTTAAGTAAAAATATCTTTTTGCATGACCAAACAATGTAAACGTATTTTGTTTATGGGAAGCTCTTCGGTGCATCCATGTTGTGGAATGTTTTGGTGCATTCCACACTTGGCATCACCTCATTGGTAAATTTGTCCAGCTCATTTTATGTTAAAAAAAATACTTTTTCTTGCACACTGAACCCTATACTGCGAACAATTCCTATGTGCGCCCTTTTATCCGTTCAGAAACTCAGCCTCCCTATCTTCCTCTTTTCATTTTTGGTCTTCACTTCTAGAGAAGAATTCTGATCTAAACTCCTCCGACGTGCGCGTATAAACTCCTTATTGTAAGCTTCCAGAATTAATCGACGCCGGTCGCCGGATGAATATGCACCGGTTATCTTTGGTCAGGAATTCAGGATACAAAGTGCTCGTCTAATTATGGTCGATGATATGTGCTCTCTTGAAAGGTAAATTTCCTTCTCCTCTCTTCAGCCGCGCGCTGCTTGGGATCTCTTTCGTCTTCATCTTGCCTCTCTCTTTCAATTCATCCAGGTCATAGTGTACTTCATTGCATCCCTGGTAGTATTTTTTTTTCAATTTTCCCTTTCATTTCGTTCACAACCTACCTTCACTGAGTAGAAACCCCCTTTTGTTATTCTTCATTTTATTGCTACTTAAGGTTATTAGTATTCTGTGTGAAGGGATTTCTTCACCAAATTTGTATTGCAATTGGGAACCTTTTTTCATTCCCCCAATCTAATAATTTTCCTACAAATTTTGACTGCCCTTGAGTGAACCCCTTTTGTTATTCTCATTTCTATTGCTACTTAGGGTTATTAGTGTCCTCACAGAAAGGATTCCTTCACCAGATTTGTATTGCAATTGGGAGCATAAGACATTTGATGGTGAAAGGTAAGAGATTTTGTTCCTAATTTATTTCCATTTCATATTCCCCTATTTCTATTTAATTTTGTGGAGATATGCAATGCTAAACATAAAGAAGAGATCAGATTCTTTACTAATTTAGATTAAGAAAATATTTTCAAATATACCTTCTCGTACAATAAGCATTGATATCTTCATAAAACTGGTCTCTCTACTAATAATTTAGGCGATGATAGCAATAGTGGTACACGTATTGCTACATTTTACAATTACAATTTATTAGTGAACTCACATCTTGATAAAATTGAATGAGAACAACAAGATATGGATATTGACTTTACTGAAAATCCAGTAGGTAAGAACACAGCTGACATAAAAATTGAAAACTTTCTTTTCTTGAAGCTGCTCATTATGATCTGTATGAGAAACTTTATGATAATCTATCATCTTAAGAATCTAGCTTTGCTAAAACCTTTTCTGGTTCATTTATCGGTGGCGGAGTTTTTTGTTTGCTTATTAACATTACATTGTTAAACACAACCTTTCTTAACTCATCCACATCTTCTTTCAAATATTTGATCGTTGATTTCATACTTGTGAGCTCTTACACAATCTCCTTCTCACTTTGTTGTGGGGCACCAGATTGAAAGCTTTCTTCGATGCAGTATATTGGAGGAGAAACATGCTCCTCTTCATCTTGATTTGCGCAAGGAGTTGTGTGATAACTTTTTTTTGAACTGCAAACAATGTTAACTTAATTACAAGTATACAAATCATCATCATCATTACCCAGTGCCGCAATGGCTCCCACCTACGTTGGGGTAAGGGTAATTTTAAGTATACAAATAAATAATTAAAATCTTATAATATTTTGGATTTATATAATTAATGGAAACCTCATAATCTTAACCATTCAACACATATTCTGAAACACTAGATACTTATAAGTAACTCTAAAAGTCTGCTCTTGCTATTCCATGGACTTGAATGCTTCAAGTTTTACAATTCTAAACCTAGATGAGATAATCCACTTTGTCCTTATAGTCCTTGTGCTGAACAAGTTTGATGCCTCTGAAAATGAACATAGGTGAAAATTCAGTTCCATGTCCCAGCTATCATGCATACTGGATGGTGGATCTTGAAAGGTCTAATTCCTTAATGTGTGATTTTTTTCTAATAAATTTTTCAAACTAGGTTGCTTTTTAAACAGAACCAGTCAACTGGGTAATATTGTGATTGTTTCTTTGATAGGAATCTGGGTTTAGTAGGCTATTAATAAGAAATAATAATAATAATAATAATATTAGTAAAGGTACTTCTAGTAGCATATTTAGAAGGGAAGGGGTTTATTAGTAATAGCTTGCCTATCCTTATGTGGATATTGGCTATAAATAGAAGGGGGAGTGGCTATTGTAGGTAGACTATTATTTTGATATTGAGTATTGCCTTTAGAGTTGCCTTGTTGCCTTGAGAGTCCTGATCGCCTAAGAAGTCCTTGTACCTTGGTTGCCTACGGTTTACCCTATTTCATCAATAAACAACATTTTTCCCTTTGTTTATCAGATCTGTGTTACGTGTTACTGCATTTACTTAGAATATTGCCAGGTTCCTATCATTCTTGTTGAGAATATTGATATTTAGTTTGGTTTCTTTTACCACCATTGAGGATATAATGCTATGAAGAACATTATGTGTTTTAGTATTCAGAATATGGTATTATTGTGTTTGATTACAAGAATGCGTACATCCGATCCCCCCTTACCCCACGTAGGTGGGAGCCTTTGCGGCACTGGGGTAAATGAAAATGATGATTACAAGAATGCATTTGAAAACGGGCATTTTAGTTTGGAGACAGTGCAAACAGTGAAGCTTTAGGAAAAAGAAAGAAAACAACTCAATTCTCATATGAAGCAGAATCTGGGCTTGGAAGAAGAGGGGCAGAAGCCCCCGTGGGTTTACCAAAGGCGGGATGGGCATGATCCCACCTTCGTGGGCTGGTTGCAGGCTGTTTAGTTAATATTTATTCTTTTTATTTTTCCTGATTTGTTTCCTTTTGGAGTTAATTAAGATTTCTAATATTTGTTTTCTATTAGGAGTTAATTAGGATTTCTATTATTTCTTTCCTATTTGAAGCTGATTAGGATCTTTATTATTCTGTTTCCTAGTTGGAGTTGATTAGGATTTCTAGGATTTTGTTTCCTAGTTTAAGAATTAGTATATGAGTATTTAAACCCCTTGTTAGGATTCATTCTGGCTCATCTTGGAATAAAATTGGTTTTAGCCTTTTGGCTCTGGCCAACGGTATTTTTATCGTTGATTTTCTAGGCAACGGTTTACCCCGTTGATTTTTATTTTTCTGTTCATAACAAATTCTTTCCGGTAAAAAAAATTTATTTAAGACAAAAACATGCATTAAAATAGTATCAAAGTGTAGGATTTTTGTAATGAACTAATGCAAGCTTTGATTGTTGTTGAGATTTTTTGCTTTTCCAAACAGCGTCTATATCCCATTCTTCTCTTTTATTTTTATAGAAGGATGAATTTGAACATTACATTCCACTTAATTAGTTTTTAATGCTAGATATATAGAATTTACAGAGCATATACATTTTTTTCTTTTATTAAACTTGATCAAAAGTTGATTTTTTACTTGTGATTAAATCGTACACTCTATTACATTCTAGTATTCTATTCAACTAGTCGTACAAGATACATTCGTATAGGTCTGACCACTTGATTTTCACCTGCAATTACTGTCTTCCTTTTACGATATTGGGGCATTGCTTCTCACATACAAATGCGTTAGGCAGAAGAGATTAAGTGATTTGGCATGTTAAAGTATTTTTGCTTGCACATTTGTCACAGGCGCTCCACTCAGGTTTATACAAAGGTAGTTTCACGGATCAACTAGACTATCAGCGCTTGTCCGGAAGTTGACAAATGGATTTTCAATGCTTATAGGATCTCTGACATTATGTGAACTCCACTACTACTTAGCATTGCTTCAGTTACTTTATTACTTATGGAAGAAAAAGAGTGTGGTGGAGGATGGCAGGATGCTACCAATTCATGTCATTCGGAGGTTACACTGATAGATTTATGGGAGGTCACTGCTATATGAAGGGGGTCTTAGGAGCGGCGAGAGAAGGTTTACGTAATTCAGTATCGCTAGGGAACTTGTGGGATACAGGAGAGGATTTCAGCTAAATGTTTGCTATTTAGTTCAACCAGCAATACCCTCGCCCCCCGCCCCCAGAAGTTTAAGGACCCTTGGGGAAAGGGAAGTCTGAAGAGAAGGAAGTTCAACTTGTTTCTTTCATTTTTTCTTTGTTGCACTAGCAGTGCTTATGCACTTCATGACAGGAATTATTCTATTCCAGACTCCCAGTAGTAACTTTCTATGGGCTCATCTTCATATAAGGCATGTGGCTTGATTAGAGAAGATAAGCAATTTAATTAAGAAAAAGATTGTGTATAAAATGAGAAATTGTTGCAAATGGGAGTCAACCATATTTTTTCAATTTTCACTATGATATTAATATAGCTCTCTCACTTGGCATGCTTACCAGAAACCTCTCTCACTTAGCTTGTTTAATCCTTAATCCTTTATAAAAACTTCATATAGGCTTGGCTACACGAAGTTTTCATTATAGTTTTTGAAGTATCGCATATTTGCATCAAACAAAATGTGACGTTTTTGTACCATCATTATGGTTTGTTTATATTTAATGATATAATGCCATTAGTAAAATTTTTATGAACACATTACTTTTAATGATATTATTCTTAATGTGACTTTTTATTATGACATATATCATTTTTGTAACATCGTTATAATCTATTTATTTTCACCAATGATGTGATTCACTAGTAATAATATTATTTCATGCAAAATAGAATGGTGTAAAATTTTATACGAAGTATAATATTTGAAATTTTATTAGCAATGTAGTGACATGTTTTACAATATTGACATTATTTTTAACTAGTTTCTTGATATTTTTTCACAAAAATGACATTGTTTTACCACTTTTAAATTATGACATCTTTATTACGTAGTACAACGTATAAAATATGACATCTTTTAACATTGACATGAAAGTTTATTTTAAAAACTACGTTAACTCAATGATAACAATATTATTTGGACAACTAATCGATGTAAATTTCAAGTTGTATGACAAAGCTCAAACTTTTACATAGTACTACATATATATCAACTTCAAAATGACAAGTCTGACAAAACACAAATGAGAGTAGACAACGAAGCAGTATATCCATCTTCAACCTCCATTTCCCACCTCCTCCATTTTGCTTCTTCCTGCAATCCTGCAGTTCATCAAAATCGATCAAAGCAAGAAACTAAGCTACCCTGAACTCTTTCAAGCCAATTACTTCCTCTAGTACCACCAGGCACCAGCTCTACAATTGGTACATTCTCATCCATGCTAACTCTAACCTTCATCAAGGAATTACTAAACAATCAAATATTGGAAAAAAGAATCTAATTATTCTTAAAAGTGTCCAGTTACAAACACAGACAATTGGATCCAGAGAAACCTACAATTTTGCACCTAATACATGAGTTCTAGTTGACATCTTCTTTATTAAAGATCATTACTGAGTGCATCCGATATTTTTACAGAAGCAATTCCGAAATACAGAGAGATCAGAAACTGATTAGAATAAACTCAATCTGCATTTTGTAGCAAAAGAATATAATACATACTTAATACACAAAGGAAAAGGATCTAACGTACTGATCCTAAAGTGTAATTCACATATTGTGTAATAAAAGAATTGTGTGTATTATTAGTAGTCAGCACCAGCTTCAGCACATGGGTACTATTATTGGGAAACTCTTTTAGTAAGATTAATATCTAACTTGTGACTTGCGGAAAAAATGAGCAATTTGGGGGTTCTGGTCTTCCAAATGTGGAGGTATGGTCAGATACATCCCTCAATTATGCATGTCATCACACTGCAATGTGTCACTTTTATGAAGGAATCAATTCTGGAGTTATAAAGTGTTAAGTTTGACCTATAAGCTCAAATCATTATGTTCTCAAGGTTGCTTCTAAACTTGTGATTCATTTGGTTATTTGTAGAACACAATCAAAATGAAAACCATTTTAAAGTTTTAAGCATGACTCTTATATTTCAAGATGTCACCCTTGCCAAGTGGACTGCACTACGCAAACCTGCCCTGTTGCATACAAGCAAACGTCTGATAATGTTACCTTTAGGATCTCGACGAACTGAGTTTTTTCTAATGACGAATCCATGGCTCTTAGCATATGCTTCATAAAATTTAAAAGCATGCTCCTCACTACCAAATTGAAGACCTCTAATGTCATCGCATGTCAAAGTAGTTATCATCTTATGGTGGCAGTGTGTTTCGTCATTTCCTTCGACAACATTTTCAGCATCACTATAATCAACTTTGCTTTGGTTTTCAGCAGAAGCAACACCACCATCAGAACTTAAGTGATTTTCCTCGTCCACAAAACTCATTGAATCATTAAGGGAAACATCCATCTGCATTTTGCCACAAATACGTTACAATACCTACTTAAGAAATTCTAAAGTAAATAAGATATGAATATAGTACATGTTCATTTCCTTAACCTAAACCTCCAACCCCTTCGCCCACTGGTTACGCTTTTTGGTAGCTTGCTTTTTTTATTTTTATGATACAACGGAAAATATCTTGCTTTCTGTTATTATGATCATTTTGATAACAAACGCAATTCTTTAGAATTCAGATGAGTTAAACTCATGGGTTAGTAGTTTCATTTTTCTTTTGTTTCAAACTGTTTGTATCTTTTTTTATACTATTGTGCTTATTATAATCAAATAATTACCATATACCTGCAGGGCTTATTCAAATATATAACCCAAAAGTAGCATGAAGAAAAATACCAAAACAGAGAGAACTATGATCTAAGTGTACACATAGAGCAGTATGTATTCTTTCTTTGAACTAAGCTTTTCCATTCGAATTGGTATTATATTAGATAAGTCTTTTTTATGAGGAAATAACATTCTTTTTCGGTTTTATATTAGATGGAAACTCCAGTTTCTATCCATCTTTTCCCACTCGATAAGAGGTTTTGTTGTGGGGAGGCTAGACAAAGCTTTTTAACAAACTAACATTCTGAACTGCAGTGTACTACTGAATATATAACTGCTGAAAAGGAATCATTGCATTTTTCCAGGTGGATTGGGCTGTTTTTGTATGCTAGGACTGTTAGTTCTCTTGAATGACAGACTTCTGAATCCCTTTTATGTCAAGGTTTACTACACGGCCCGTATGACAACCAGATTGAGGAAGATCTCATTCTAGGTATCTTCCACATTCCGCTAGAAAGAAACATGCCTTTTTGAACATATGCATTTTAATGGTTTAACGTTTACTCAAAAGAAACTTATTAGTTATTTGTTCATCTCACAAAAATCTATATTCCAGGCTGTTACAACGGTGTTCTTAATAGAATTTATCAAACAATTGACATAATTATTCAAATGCTGTTTTTCAAGTAAAAAAGAGATTTCTTAATCACTTCACTAACCGGTAATTTAACATGCGAAAAATACACCTGGCTGCCTTTGTATTTCCTCTATAATTTAGTCCTTTGATAGCTGTTTAATCATTTTATAACCGACCACAACTCAACTGATTGGGAGATGACCACAAATTCGAGGTCAAAGAAATAAATTCCAAGCATTGGTAGTTCTAACGATGGTTAACATGCATCACCCACTGTTCTGTTTTTGTATTGTTTCAATTCCAGCTAATGATCAAATTATAGGAAGTAGTAACAAGGTGAGAGCTAGATTGTGTCCTGGTTTGAGAAACCATAACTTGTGTCAAAGTAGAGGGGTTCAATGCAAAACAATTCCAAGAAAGAACAAAGCCGGAAGCCCTTTAAAGGTTAAAGATGTCAAAAGTCCAGAAGATGGTGAAACTGGAACTCAGATAAAAAAGGAACAACATCTGCTAGAATTAGGGGACTTGGGTGATTCTGGAATTGCAAGAGTGATTCTTTTATTAGTTGGTTTAAAGATTGTCTTTATCAGTTGAAGTTATTTATGGAATGTAATTGAAGCAGCTTGTTACGTTGTTCCCATTCTATAAGCAAGCATGAAATTGCATAGCAACTGAACCATTTCATAAGGTATGGAAATTTGGAGGGATGCAATCTGGTGGCAGGATAATAGATCATCTACCGTTGTTAACCACAAACGATACAATACACGGAAATCTACATGACACATGGAAAAATGCAAATTCACACTAACTAATTCACAATAAAAATCCAAATCAAAATTAGGGATGATAAACCTACCTCGGATTGAGTCGCTGGTTTTTTCGTCTCTCGCTAGCTTAGCTTGCCCAGACGCAGCTTAAACTGTTCGTTTTCTGCTGCCTTCGCCTCCTAGATGCGGATTGAACGGGCGGTTCATCTTTCCCTGCCGACGCGGCTTGACTGTCGCTCCCTGCCTTCGCCGACGCAACTTGACGGTATCTCCCTGCCTTCGCCAACGCAGCGTGACCGTATCTCCCTCCCTTAGCAGCACGACTGTCTCTCGCAGACTTTACCTTCTCCTTTACCTTCTTTCCGAATAAATTCCTATAGCAATGACAAAACGGGGGCTCAAGAGGAAGGACCTACTTGCAATAAAAGTATTTAAAAGTATTTTTCAATAAAAGGTAATGACCTGGACTCATTTACGAATGAAAGAGTGCCAACTGTTGAATGCACCGGTGCATCCCACAATTTAGATGCACCGTAAAATTTTCCTTTGTTTATATGAGTGCCTTTTAGCATGACCATTATATATATACGTACTTTCCATTGAGCTACTTATTCTCTTTCCTTGCTTGACTTAGTCATCCACTCATGAATATAATTTAATGATTTATGGAAAGTATTCTTGCTATCTTTATATTGGTGGACCGTAGCATTTGAATTTGTTAAGAAAGGGGTTGTCTTGCTTAAAATATTAAATAATCATTTTTGCTATATTGTTAAGCATAAAGTAATTGAACTTAGCATTTATAAAATAAATGCTTTGCTTTATGACCGTGTGATGCATATTTGTAAAGTAAATATTTCTTTACCTTTTGAGTTGAATCATTATTCTTTGTTGACTAAGCTAATGCATGATTGCTGTTGACCGTACATATCTATATTTGCTAAGTGATAAATCAATTTTGAAAAAGGCTCCTTGATTATAATTGATTCGTGCTTGGCTACTAGTGTATACATGTTAAGTTAATATAATATCTTTCTCCATGATATTTATTATGAAAGCATCCGTGATATATACCCGAGATCATGGCACTCAAATTAGAAGGAAAGTAATTCAAAATATCAAGGCAAGTCCCAAGATTAGAAGATCAATTATTCAAGGAAGGATGCAAAAACGGTCTGCCAAGACAGCCTATATAAACGAAGCAGCCAAAGAAAAATAGAGGGTGCTTGACCGAGACAAAATCTGAAGAGACATATTCACAAAAGAAATATCAAAGTCCAAGACGTCTGAAACTGCTCACTCGGAGTTCTAGATATAGTTTCTTCTTTCCCTTCTTCATATTGTAATGGGGTTTTGAGGATTGGCTAAGAGTAGCCTCCTCGGGTTGCTTTGTGTGTGTGAGAGCTTTGTTGTAAAGCTGAGAGGCTCTCTACCCGCAAGGTAGAGAAGCGCAACTCTTCCTAGAGAGGATAGAGTTGGGGTGGCTCAAGGGTAGACTAGGAGAGTTTCCCTTGTAATCATTCAAATGCTTTTTAGTGGAGTTGTTAAAATTCCTCCGAGGGAGGTCGAGGTTTTTTAATCCCTTTGAGCCAAGGGATTTTTCCTCGTTAAATTCTTGTGCACTTTACTATTTCGCAATTCCCTATACCCCGCACTAGAACTTGACGAAAAACTGCCACAGTTCTACACACACACACAATTCACCCCCCCTCTTGTGTTGCTAACCGTTTTCATCAATAATGTCACTAATCTTTTTTTTTTTCATTTTTAAATTCAACTAATTAGGCCTAACATTTAATTTTTGTTGATAATTTGAAAATTTTAAAACATAAGTAAAAAGTCTTCATCGGAGTCGCTCAAACAAGTTTAAAAAGGATTGTATATTTAATTTTAAGTTTTAACTAGCAAATTGTAGATCAAAACATTTGTTGCTAAATCAATAAAGGCACGTCTTTTCGCATCTTTTTAGCTTTAAGCTTTTTTTAATCTTTTTAATTTCAAAATTATAAATTTATACTCCCTCTGTGTCCCTTAAATTGTCATGTTTTACCTTATCGGGAAGTCCCACTAAAATTGTCTCATACCATATTTGGTAAAGTTTTGTGTGGCTCTAAATCATTCTTACATTATTCTTACTTTATCAATTAATATCAACCACACAAATCCACTTTTCTTAATAATCGTGTCACTGTCACCTTCTTCCGTCCCAATATAAAAGGGACGGAGGTAGTAGTAGTTTTTGGGCAGTCCGTGCCTCCCAATTCCCAAGCTTCATCCCAGTTATGTATGATCGACTATATCATAAAAAAGGTTTATTGGTAGCAATGTTAAGCATTGCACATGGAATCTTAATCGAAAAGGATTGATTATGAAGTAATTATTGATGATTTTGTTTCACAATTAATGTTTTGTGATAAATGTTTTTAAAAAATGTTTTCTGTGATACTTGTGTTGTTATTTTTGCCGAAATATGTAATTTAAATAATGCTTCGTAATAAAGTGAATTTCGTCTTTATTTTATCCTCTTTATTAGATTGTTTTATTATAATTGTTATTTGAAGTATAATAAACTGTCAGTCTTGGAAATAATCCAAGATAATATATCTCTCATAGGCCCTAAAGTAGACAGGGTAGTAACCGATTCAATAAATTTAGGCTACATTTTTTAAATGGTTATATCGTAATGATATACAAGTTAGACAATATTGAAGTTTAAATGTCTCAATCTGTTCAAATTGATGAAATTTTAGCTGAAGCTACCGTATTAACAATGATGAAAAATTTGTATTGAAAATAATTTTCTGGATAAACATATGGTAATAAAATTGGAAATTCATAATGTCACTATGAGATTAGTGATGGCACTATAAGAATAATGTGGGCAGTTCAGCAAAACTCCCGATCGAGTCCGGCTGCAAGGTGCCGAACCACTCCTGTGCTGGCCCCGAACGGTGCTGAAGAATAATCTGCAAATTGCTGCATCAGTGGCTCCCAAGAGCATGAGACATCCTTGATAGCTTCTCAAATGTACGTGGGGATCTCCCACCCCGTCGTAAGTCAGGCCGTTCGGGGGTCGGCAGTCCCTTAATATTTCCGCATTCATAATCTCCCTGGCGAAGGGAGAAGTAATCCCACCCCGAGCTGGTGGGGTCTGTTGGGGGTGTGGTTAATCTGCTCCCTGAGTTCGGCCATTTGCCTCCTCATTTCGGCCATGTCTTCCTCTGGCCCGTTCGGGGAGGTGGAGGCGGAGTCCTCAGGTCCATGAATTCCGGAGTTTGTTCTGGTGGATGTGCTGTTGTTTCCCTCCTTCGGCGGATGAATCTTTCTCCATCCCTCTCCACATACTGGAAATGTTGTCCCACAAGGTCTACTATGGGAATAGGCTCCCTGAAGTGAGCCCCGCCTCTAGGCCTGATCGGGGTTCGGTCCCTCGGGGAGTGTTGCCTGTGTCGGGGGGTGTGGGCTCTCCAATGATTTCCTTGGTACGCCTGGGAGTGGGCTGAAGTGGTAGTGGTTTGAGTATGGTCCTCCCCCTCGTCAAATGATGGCATGGAGCAGATGGGGGATAGTGAGTTGGAGGTGTCATCGGTGGAGGTAGCGTCACCCCTTTCTTGTTCATCGGCCATGCGCTGCATGGCTGCTGCCATTTCCCTCATCAGCTGAGGGTTTCTCCTGATGTCATCAGAGATGACATCCTCGAATCCTTGTGAGGCACTTCCACTGGTGTGCCCCTATGTGGACCAGTTCCCGGAGGATCCGTGGCCCCTCCGGCCCCTGGTAGTAGAGCTTGGTGTCGCTGAGGCGATTCTAACCATCTTGAAAAAGGTGGTGCTTAGATCAAATAGTTTTGCTTGGGATTTTTGTTCAGTTTCCCACAGACGGTGTCACGCCCCAGACCGCATCCAAGCGCGTGTACAACTGCCGTATGACTAAGTGACGTCACCCGCAAGTCAACGTGACTTAATCATACAAGGCGTCCATGAACATCTGTTCATACCATGCTCAGTAAGTAAACATACATAACAACGTCACATATTTGGATTGAACGAATCGCGAAAATATTCAATATTCAATCATGGGCCACATATGGCCAAAACGTGGACTCGCAGGCCCAAAACAAATGTACTTATTACAAATTATCCATGAGCATAGTTTGTAGTTTAAAAACGGTAAAGGAAGCACGAACCACGTCTCCCTTTAGATCACTTCACCGAGCAAGGTGAGAATAGCAAGCTTGAGCTTCAACCTGAAATGGTGGGGCCCCCCGAAGGGGTCAGTACAAGTACCGAGCGAGTAGCAGGCTAAATGTAGAATAACTAACGTTTCAAGTATAAGACCCAAACATAGGGTGATACATATACATATAGTTCCTTCCCCCAAGTTATGAAATATATATCATTATATATACACTTGGAAATACCCGACCCGTAGGTCATTGTTTATTTGGGAAATAATATAGCCGGTAACCTTGGTTTAAACCCCAACCCACCCATATACCTATGAGTGTATAGAACTCCTCCTGGTTCAAATCATCTTAACTTGAGGACACCGCCCGGTCCTAAATTACAAATAGTAATCTATGAGTTTTGAGGATACACGCCCGATCCTTGGGTACTCCACCCTATATAACCGAGTTTTGAGGATAACCGCCCGATCCTTGGGTACTCCACCCTATAACCGAGTTTTGAGGATACCGCCCGATCCTTGGGTACTCCACCCTATAACCGAGTTTTGAGGATACCGCCCGATCCTTGGGTACTCCACCCTATAACCGAGTTTTGAGGATACCGCCCGATCCTTGGGTACTCCACCCGACTTATGATCTACCACATATCATCCTAGATAAGGTCTATATCATAATCAATAATCAAGACTAAACCAAGTCTTAAGGCCTAAGCATAATCATCCATGCAATTCATGCATTAAAAATCAACATATAGGCAAAACAGTGCCAAACCGGCGCTGATTTTGACATAACCGGCGCCGGTTATTATTTAATTTAAATAAACCGGCCATGCCGATCCATAACCGGCGCCGGTTTTGCCTATAACCGGCGCCGGTTACCCCCTGGGCAACCAAGTCAACATTTTCGTTGACTCGCCATTTCAAACCCGATTTGCGTCAAACTTAATCCCAACATGTATTAAGTTATAACCAAGCATTTTATGCCCCTTTTTATCCCTTAAAACATCATATATGTTTTTATAAACATTTTCATATCATACTTCATTTATGATATCAATGGGTCATACATATAAGTCTAATCACTTTGGATAATCACATGTTTAAGCATCTTTTGAACATCATTAGGAACACATATAACATTTACTTAGGTAATCTCATAATTAACCCAAGAGTTATAAGACATTAAGCC